CCCCAAAACCCCAAAACCCCAAAACCCCAAAACCCCTGGCAATTTTTCGAAAATTGAGGATGCCCCAATACCCACACTAGGCTGAGTTAAGTATTTTTGTCATCTTTTTGAGGGCCTTTGATGTTGATTAATAATCTCTCCTTCAGTTTCATCTTTTCTGCTTGGAGAATATCGAATAAGAACTCTATATTAGCAAGCAGCTCTTTGATTCCATCCTGAGTGAATTTCGTTCTCATTGTTGAGTCGTGAGTCCAGTTCTAAATAGTCAGAGATTTTTAAAATACGCTCACAAAGTCAGCCCTGGTTTCAGCCCTATCACTTTTGTCTGGAGACAGATGGCTCCTTGACGCTGCTTGCTGTACAATATCATGAAATGACTTTGTCCTGGCGTTCATTATTTTCCTGGAATAAATATTCTTGTTTGCCTTCTTCTGATTCTTCTTTTTCTCATCAAGGAAATACTCAGTGTTATTCTTAACAGTTACTTTTGGAGGTCTTGAAAAGAACTACTATGATAAGACTTAAGCCATACTCTTCGTTTAGATTGATCTTTCTTTCCAAGATCTGACCTTGCACAAATAGATTTTATATTAAGGAACTTATATTTCCTTGTGACTCCAACCGGAGAACTACATGAATCAGTGTAGGCCTGAGATTGAGAATGATTAATGGAATAATCATTTGCTTTCTTGTCTATCTTATGCCTCCCCTCGCTAGGTGAGGTTAGAGAATTCTTTAAAATATCATCTTTGAGTTCCTGCACATCAAGATCTTGAGGAACATGGTATTTGACCTTATTTGATTTTATATTCTTGAAGATAAATCTGCTTGATAATACTATTGTCTTTCTCAATATTTCCTATCTCTAATCCAATAAATTTACCTTTAAGATATTTCTCTAGATAATATCTGCTCTTATTCAACTCTTCTAGGTAATAATATTCAAGACTAAGATGATGGTACGCCTTTAGCTCTTCCTGGGTCTTCTTCAGAATCCAGGCGCTCTGGAGCATTCTCTTGAACATTTCTATTGCGATTTTGTGATTCTTCCGGAGCCTGTTCATATACCCGCATTGTTCATACATAATCAGTTGCTTATTTGATTCAGTCTATCATGACACTGTAGATCCGAAGGCCATTATATATCTTGAAAGCAATGTTAAATTCTGAATAACCCCTGCTGATGAGGAAGTCTGCCCTCATTTTAGCAGTATAGAAAACAATATCTTGTATATTACTTGACTTTGATAGGTCTTGAATTAGCAAAAGATTAGACTTTACTAGGCTTATGTCAAGCATGCTGAGAAGAGTCTTATGTGCAATTTTCTCTGTGGTACTCTCGCACGATTTCCCTCTAGATCGCTTAATAGAAGGCTTTTTCATGTTATTTCAAGATATCTCTGAGATATTTTGGCTTTTCAACAATGCTATTCTTTTCATCAATCTTCTGAGTAATCTAAAGAGATTTAATCCTTAAAACTACATAATTCTTTAACTCTTGAAGTTTAGCCTCAATCTGAAAAATCAAATTTGACTTCTTCTCTTTATCACCCATAAATGGATTATGTACAGCTATTTTAGTACTAACTGTTTTTGATAATCCCAATAAATTTTCATTAAATTTCCTCAATTTCCTATACCTCAACCTATCATTTCCTACATCATTTTAGGCACTGAAAGCATCTTTTCTTCTCCTATCCTCTGTCTATCCTCATATGCATCCTCTCTTGATCAGCTCATTTCTACATATTCATACTCTAAATTCCTTACTCTTCATTTTGTTCCTGCCTTTTGTTAAGTCCCTATTAATATAAGTTTCTTCTTACCTTCTTTTGAGGCCTATAATTCATTAAGAAATGAAGTTAATTTTGTTAAAGAATTCAGAAAATTTTCTTCATAATTGAGTACAAATATTTGGTTTCGCAATGCTGAGTTTAGAAAAAATTGAAGAAGAAGAAAATACATGGACAAATTTTGAATTTTTATACCAAATTCCTGTGAAATTTTGAGTAAAACAGCAATTAATTAGATTTGTGAAAGCTGCTTAATCGAGAAATTTGGACTCAAAGGGAGCTGATTACGAAAGAATTATGCTTTGATAATGGAGTTTTATGTGCAAGAAGGGGACTTGATTAACTTACTATGGAATTCTTGGGCGTGGAAAGATTGGGAAGTTGAGATTTGGTGTGAGGATGATCTGTCAAGATCTGAGTTATCTTCTTCCTGAAAGTATAAGGTATAGAACTTACGCTGTCGGGGACTTGGAAGCGGACATGGATCTTTTTGTCCTGTATTGTTTCTTTGTCAGAGTTATCTATTTGCTGGCTTGATTTTGGTCTCCAAAATCTTGAAAATGAGATTTTTCCTTACTGATTAAAAGCTGTTGCAATTTCCTTTTTACTAAAAATATTGATATTATTTGCTTGAGGTTGAGATAAAAAAAGGAAAAGTGCTTACTGTACTTCTACATTTCTGTTTCCATACCCTGAGCGTACTACTTTCTAGAGAATGAACCCTAGAATTACAGAAAAATAGTCATGAATGTATTTAATTTCCCTCTTAGCATTAATAATCGCTTCAGATCTTTCAGATCTTACAACTTCTGATTGATGCTTGCTCATTCTAACAAAATTGTAAGAATTGAAGGTCTGATAAACTATTAGAACTTCAAAAATATTTTAAACCCCAAACAAACCATACTTCGACTCAAACCCTTCTAGGCTATATATCAGATTACTATCATCCTTGTCACTCGTATTGACTCTATTTCACGTATTTCAGACTTTTCAGACCTATAATAAGTTATATTCCAATAAAATTTATAAATTTTATTTCTCCCAAAGAAGAAATATCAAATCAGCCCTAAATTCTCCAAAAATGATTTACTATAATGCCTCTTGTGGATTTGGGAGGAACTCCTGGTCTTCTTTTGATGTTTGAGGTTCTTCAGATCCATTTTATACTTCTTCTTAAATTCTCTCCTGGCAGACATCATCGACATTTTAAATTTATTTCGACAATCCCTTAATTTCTTGGGGTTTTGGGGTTTTGGGGTTTTGGGGTTTTGGGGTTTTGGGGTTTTGGGG